ACTAGTGCTGACTGTAGTACTGATACTAGTGCTGACTGTAGTACTGACTGTAGTACTGACTGTAGTACTGACTGTAGTAGTGACAGTAGTAGTGACAGTAGTAGTGACAGTAGTAGTGTGGTTATGTTCATGTTCTGTGTATTTTGTGTATTGGAGGTGGATGTGGGTGGTGTCAGGGTCTGAATGGACAGAATGGTGAGACGGAGAGGGAGCGACTGTTGGTGGGTTCAGAGTGACGGCTACACGAAGGACTGGGAGTCCAAGGTCCTGACCAGGACAGAAACATGAAGGAGTCGGTTGTACTGTCACCGTCTTATTCTGTGTGTTTCTTTCGGCTGCACCTTCTTCGGGGGTCACCACAACGAGCGAACGTATGAAAGATTTGGCCATTTATTTGATGCCGATGCCCTTCCTGACACAACCTGCGGTTGAACCCACAACCTCAGTGTTAGAAGACCGCGGCACTGAGCGACCGCAGCCCCTTCCATGTTCTTCTGTTCTTCAAGTAAATGACATGACAGACGTTCGTTTGATGAAGACTGGAGGAAGAAAAGATGAACGTTGAGTACAGAGAATTTCAACACGTACGTTTGTTTCCAACCTCTCGTTCCTGCACCTTCACAAGAACTTCTTTTCTTACGGTCACTTATTGCTTCAACTACAGCTCACTGTAAACCTCCATTACTTGTCCTGATGCCAGCAGTGATGGTGTTCTCTGTTTTACCTATAAGTGCACAGAAGGTGCTGCGTGTCCACTGGTGGTCCACATCATCTCCATCAGCTGTTTGTAATGTTAGTGCGGGGGCTGCAGTCTCAGCTCTGCTGTCCGCTCTCTGCAGGTCCTGGCAGGCAGCGTCCGTTACCTCTGACTCCGGGGGTCAGGAGAGACCCGTGGGCTGACTCCGTCTTCAATGTGTCCATTCACGCTGCCATTCGATCCTCCAACTGGAAGCTGCTGACGGGATACCCGGGTCAGTACTCTCTGTTTGTTGGCATGTTTAAAGTCTGGTCTCATTATGTCAAACTCCAGGCCTCGAGGGCCAGTGTCCTGCAACTTTTAAATGTTCCACTGGTCCAAAACACCTGAATCATATGACTGAATTAAGTTCTCGGTGCAGTCAAGGTCTCCTCATTTAATTCAGCTGTGTGGCGTCAGAGACACATCTCAAAGTTGCAGGACTCGGGCGCCCGAGGCCTGGAGTGTGACACCTGTCATCTACACGCTGACGATCATTATCCTGTGCTGCTGAGAGGTGAAAGACTGCCAGGAATGGTTTTACCCGTTTGTGTGTGTGTCACCACAACACCCCCACCTTGAAGTACTGCCTTCCATGTTGTTGTGTTGCTGAAAGAAAAGACGCTGTTTTGAGTTTTCACGTCAAATATTGCCAACACCAAAATAAATATCTTTAAACTGACATCCCTGTTGTTTTAGAAAACTATGCTGTCTAGTTTTTTATTGCTTAAGAGTATAAATTCCTCAGATGATTGGGGGGGGGGGGGGGGCTCTTAGGGTAGCCAAAGATTTGTCCATAGCAGTGGTTCCTAACACTGGTCCTTGAGGAACACCATCCTGCATGTCTGAGCTGTTTTCCTGCTTTGACTGAACGTCTGCAGAACTTGTTGAAGTCATGAACTCACTGAATCTGCTGTGTTGGAGCAGGAAACCACTAAAACATACAGGATGCTGTTGACCAGTAGACTGGCCACCCCCTGCCCCTGCTCCTGGGGGTGGCACCAGGACCCATGGGGGGACATGGATGGTTTTCATGTGAAACCCTAGCAACATGAAGTAACGTGTTGTTTAGCAAAGCTCGTTGTTGATTCACTCTGCCGGTGTCGTGTCCCTCGTCTCGACCTCCTTCAGGTTGTCCTGTTTGGTTCCCCCAGCCTGGTCGCAACAGTTCTAAGTCCGGCCCGTCGGGAGCGGACCCTCTGAAGCCCGTCATGCTGTTCGATGTCGAAAAGGATCCGGAGGAGAGGAACGAGGTCTCCGAGAAGTTTCCCGAGGTGGTCGAGTATCTCCTGAGCAGACTCCAAACACTCCAGCAGTCTGCATCGCCCATAAACTATCCTGACGATGACCCCAGGTGTGACCCGGGCCCCTCTGGAGCCTGGGGGCCCTGGGCCTAGCTGGAGACCACAGCAGGTGACCCCAGGGCTGTACGATGTTCAGAACTGAACGAGTCCATGTACGAGGAGCTGCTTTTCTCTCATTTTATATTTAAAAAGTTTATCTCCAGGGTTTATTTTGAATAGACAATCAGACGGTGTGTTTTAATGCTCTCTGCTGTTACATGTTCGTCCTTGGAGGGGCTGCAGACCTGTGCACGTTTCTACACACACATCTGGATCCAAAGCTTTTACACATTTTAAATGGATTTTATTTATTACATATATTCACAGCAAGGGAAGTATTTTAAAATCAGAATAAAAGAGTTGATCTTTGTGATGCGTGTGAAGTTATTTAGTGCAGTTAAAACACACACACACACACACACACACACTTCCTGTCCAGAAACACCACCTTCTCTAAACCCTCCAAACATTCAGGGTTGAAATCGTTCAGTCAGCGAATCGTCGGGTGTTTCGACATCGACGAGCTCGGACTTCTGAATCAGCTTGATCACTTGAGATGAAGGAGAAATCAAATGTCCTGATGCCCGATCAATAATCCAGGTGGAACAGTGTAAGTACAAGCAGGTCCTCTGGACAGGTGAAGAAAATCACCAACTTGTTGAAACGTTAGTCTTTTCTCTGTTTGATGTGAAGGACTTCTACTGGTGACACTTGTGCTCCCAGTCAGGCTGAAGGTCGTTCAGAGCAGCACTGTGGTGGGAACAGTGGAGAACATCACGGATACTGTTCTGACTTGAACTCCCGTTCAAATCACGACACGTTGCTGGTTGTTCCACTCCCTTCAACTTTCAATTCACACACGAGGAGCAGACATCGAGATGGAGGCCGAGCGATTCACTCTTACTGCTCTGCTTGTTTTGGATCATTCCTGTTTTCTGTCGAGCGTCCTCCTTATCAAATCCATGCTTATTAATAATTAATCAATAATAGATAAGCGTCTTCTTTCGGCTGCTCCTTCTTCAGGGGCACCACAGTGAAGTAACTCGCATGAAGACTTGGCAGTTGTTTTTACACCAGATGTTCTTCCTGACCAACCACAGCCTCTGAGTGGAGCAGAGAGCTGCAGCTAGGGCGCCCGGGGAGCACAAGGTGGGGATAAGAGCCTTGCTCAAGGGCCCAGAGTGGGACGAATGAGGGTGGAGGCAGGTGTGGGTGCTTCACCTATCTCACCCACATTTTGCTGTTGTCAGTACGGGGAGTTGGGATCAAGAAGGACCATCAGCCTAACACTGGATCATTAGGACCTGATGGCTGTTTACTGTTCACAGAGGGCTGAGTGATACTAGCAA